GCAAGACATGACCTACATGTGGGCGTGGAGATGACAGCGTAAGCAGACAGACAGACAGCTTTGTGAGCTTGGCAGATTCTTAACAACAACAGCCTGTCTCTGAGGTCAAACCACTTTCACCAGAAGTCAGGATGAACATTATATTATGCTTCTCCAAAGCATTACATAAGATAGCATGATTGTGTGTTTTGTTTTGAGAGCCTGCACTAGTGCAGACGTGTATAGAATTAATTCACAGGGAGAATCACTGCAGTGCCAATCATCATTTATTGAACAATATATTGTAATATGGATTGAGAGGGAGAGAAACAGAACCACCTGGATTTCTCTGCAGAGTTCCTGGGGTCTTTGTCTGTCTTCTTAATTCTTCACATTCACCCATGCGCTCTCCAAGTCTAAGTCTGTCTCTTCAGCTGTGCAGCATCCTAAATAGCTATCTATTTCCCAACTTCCTCCAATGGTCCAGGTCTTCCATCAGGCCCCTACCCTGGTATCATTTCTCTATTTTTGGGAAACCCCTACAGCCTGTTACTGAAAAACAGAAACTGGACCCCATGATCATGCAGAGAGAGAAGAACACAGAAGAACAGAGAATTCTGACCATACTTAAAGTTTAACTAACATTGGCCTAATAAGTATTAACTATATCAAGTTTGCTTTTACCACTACAACCTTAACAGGAATAAATTCTGTGGTAGGCTCCGGTTGTGCATTGACCGTTGCCTGATAGTAGCAGGAGAATAAACATGCTTGGAAACCAATTAAATAAGATCTAGTTCTATGGTAAGAAAAACTAAACAAAACACCTTTATTTTAAAACCAGCTGTCAGAATAATTAAAATCCTTAGGCTGTATGAGTGGACATGTCCTGAGTAGACATACCTGTGTGCAGACAGCAATGCAGAGAACACCATTGCTGTGTTTCAGTTACAGGAGGAGAAACAACTTCATTGGGTGAGTGTATTTCTAGCTATGGCATAAAACTATACTTGGTCATATAAAACACATTTACAGGCTCAGTACGATTCTACACAGAAAAACACAAATGAAGAGTAGCACTGTCATCTCATTTCACTTGGCTTTAGATTTGATAAAGCTTTATTAACTCAGTGTGATTATATTAAAAACACTGTTGATCCTTAGGCATTGCACATGAAATCAGTCTTACCTGGGCCACTTAGGGCTGAGCCGGAAAGACAAAGGGAAGTTACCAGCAGACGTGCTGACACTGAGAAATAACCACCACATCAAAACTAATTCCAAAAGATAAAGTGTAAGAACATGGTTCTACTTTTATGCTGATGTTTTTGACCAAAAGGCAACCACACACTGCACGTGCTAATCGTGTACACGCCAATGTGACAAGTAAACTGTGAAATCCAGACAGACATTTTTATATAGCAGAGTGCAATGTGAAATCAGAAGCGCCTATCTCACCTAGTAACAATGATATACATAGCATGAAATATCTTATTGCTGTGACAGATCAACAGAACCAACATTTTTAAGTGTCACACAACGTTTACTACAAGTGAAAATGAGCATTTGTCTGCTCTTCATTAGGCCTCTCTGAAGCATCAGGCACATGGAAAGGCATTATCATTGTTTCTGAGAGCTGTGATAAGGTGTCAGTGTATGTTCCAAACTGAACGTAGAACAAAAGTTTAGTGCAGGGCCACTGTTTTTCAGCAGCAGCGCCCTCTAGTGGCAAAACAACAACTATGTCTGATTGTTAACCATTTAGATGTAATAAACTGTTGTTCCAAAAAGGACCACAATATATGCAGGAGGTACTGCAGGAGTAACACGTTACTTTAAACACCCCTATTTATCATTTATAAGCACTATGTAAACTATAAATAAATTACAATAATTAATTATTAATGTATTTGTCAACAAATGTAACTCTTGCTGTGGGCACCAGTAATTAAAGGGTGGTGTATAAATAGATAATGAATGACAGTGCAGAAAAACACAGATGTAATAATGTAAAATGAGACAGAATGTCTGAAAATACTGAATAGAAATAAACACTTAAATGTCCCTGAAGCGACATTTTCCTGTTGTGTGTGATAAATCATTTAATGCCATAACAAAGACCAAAAATAAATACTATATAGAGTTGCAAAATATCCAGCAATATGTTGTTCAGGAACCTACGGCTGAAAAGGCATTAAAATCTGATCAGCAAGGATAAGACAGTAAGATGGCCAAAGCGGTTTGAAGCTGAAATAACCTCAACAAACTCCATTAAGTTGCAGCTGTCCTGAGAGAAGTGTAAACTCAACATCAATAACATCAACACAGCCTTCCACAGTCATTGGCCACCCCTCGCTCTCTCTGCCTCCCTCTTCATTAGCCACCCCTCGCTCTCTCTGCCTCCCTCTGGGGCAGAATAAAACAGGCCCCTGTCCATCCCAGGGGATGGACATGCTTTCCTCAATCAGCTCCCTTCCTCCAGTCTCATCAAGTGTTAGGATGGCTCGAACACGGAACATCAGCTCCCTTCCTCCACTCTCATCAAGTTAAGGAGGTACAATGTGAGTTAGCCAGGCAAACCTGACATCAAGTTAAGGAGGTACAATGTGAGTCAAAGCATGGAAGGCTTTTACGCTGCCTTTGTCGCTACGGAAATGGCCCTGTCCATTTGCCAACCAGTGCTTCCTGTGGGGGGTTACATTTTTTGAGACTGCAAGATATTCAAGAAGGTTTGTCTCTGGTCACAGAGAAGACAGGATTTTTTTTTTCTTAATACAGCCAATACAGCATATCTAATCCTCTTGTTTTACTGAATGGTGTATTTCTTACAATCCTCCTATAGGCTGCCTAGAGCAGTTGCTGAGTCAGTACAGTGTTACTGAAAGTGATGATCTGCCATGTCCCTCATGGATGACTCACCACATTTACCCCATTTGTTTCCATGGACACATCCTTTTCCTCTTCAGAGATCTCCCGGGACACGTGTGGCCTCATCTGGAGTGCACATGGTATAAAGAGCCTGTCAATACATTGAAGTTGCAAACGAGCCAGGATGCTTAAACATTCACCACACATCAGTGAAATAATTTGGGATATGGATGTGGGGGAGGTAAAGGGTGCTCTCCCATCTTTCTAGAACAATTAGTTGGATGATCATGGGTAAGACAGTAATGTTTCAAATGTGGCTTTAGGTATTAACTGTTAACCAGGACAAAACAGTCGGTTACAGCCAAATCCTGCCGTTGTACTTCAAAGACTTTCAACCCTGAATGAACACAATATCGCTATTGACTTATGCGTTTGAAAACTTCTAAAGGTCATGTCCAGTGGTGGAAGTAGTATTCAGATATTTCACTTAAGTAGAAGTAGCTCTACTGCAATTTTAAAATACTCTGCTACAAGTAAAAGTCCTACATTCAAAAAATCAGGAAAACGGTTCAGGAACACAGCAGAGATCCAGGCTGGCTGTGTTTTAAGGTATAATAAAAGACGCAGGACTTTCCCTGTGGCTACAACACTTAAAGAAAACAGGCCTTCACTAACTGCACTCCAGCATCCTGGCATTTTTCCAGGCCAGGAAGTTCTTTTCCTGATCTTAAGTGACCTCTGCATGCCTTTCACTGCAGAGGAGGCTGAAACACACCGCTGTGCCACAGAACTTTTGATTGAGACCTTTGTGGCTGGTATGCAGACACAAGGAGCTCAGACATAGAGATATTACACATATTCTAGCTGGAACAGTTGGTTACATGCAACAGGATGGGCAAAAGGCATTACTGGGCCAAATAAGAAGCCACATGTCAAATGTGGCTTTAGTTGTTGATAAAAGGGGACAGAACAACTGTCTTGTTCAGATACAACAGTAGCAAATAGCACAAGTATCCATCTGTTATCCATCCATACATAGTTTGTGTCCAAACTATGTACTGGTACACAATTCTTTTAATGAATCTCCATAGACAGTGGAAGGCTGAAATGATGTTACTGATGCTGAGTTTACAATTCTCTCAGGACAGTCGTGTCATACTGAGCCTCATAATGAGCATCCATTTAGTTTTTATAAGCATAATAGGAAGATGGAAACAGTCCCTGAGAGGTTGTGAGTCAAACCAAAGTACGATCACACACACAGTAGGGGGTACCTTGATGATGACCCATACGAGGGTGACCATGATGATGCCGGCCAGCACAGCGGCAGAGATCACAACGGACACCAGGACCAGATTGTTGTTTGATGAGTTACATGTCTTGCTTGGGTCTGTAGTTGGAGTGGGTTTTTCTAGAAATTGCATTCATGTATTACTAAAGTGTTAAGTCCCAGTTACATATTCTTCACTCAAAATGATACTAAAGCAGAAAGTGCAAACTGTGTGTAAACTGGATTTTTAAAAACTCTTTATACCTTTAATTAAAAACAGCAGACATGGTAGTGGAGTCAAAAACTACACTAAGTTCCTGGAAAGTATGAATCTGATAAGTCAAAGTAACTTTGCATGTACCAGCAATATGTGAAACCCATAGATTTCCTCCCTGAATACAAACAGCCTGCTAAGCCTTCCCTCACTTCAAACCTGTCACCACTGAACTAGAAGCTTACTGTTAGAACACATTATTAAACTACTGTAGTTGTAACACACTTATTGCACTTCTAGATTCATGTTGGATGAACTGTCGAACGTGTTCTCTTATATTGAAAAGAAAAGACTAATATAAAGATATTTCACAGTGTGAAATTTATTATGCATTAACGTGGATGAACCATTGTTAAAAAAAATGTGTCCAGTGGAATAATGATGAGGTTGATTTGTAAGCATAATAGGTTTTGTGGCTAAATGAATAAAAGGATGAGGCTCACCTTTCACCACCAGCAGCACAGACCCCTTGCTTTTAACGTTTAATAAATCACTGGACTTCCCACCCATCTCCACGTATGAACACCAGTATGGGCCTGTGTCTTCAACGGTCAGGTTTTTGATGAGAATGTCCACATTGGGGAATGCTCCATTTAGCTGAACTCTGTCCTTAATTTTGTCTGAAATGATAGGGGGTGACCGCCCCATTTTGGCTGCTTTGGCAACTCCCGATGGGGCAGAGGGCTGTGGTGTTTCCTTCTGCTGCTCTTGCTGGTCTTGCTCCTCTTGCTCGGCTTCGTCGGGGCACTCTACAACACAAAGACGACAGCTATCCAGAGTGCCCAGTATTTAACTGAATGCAACTGAAGACCATTTCAGGATGACAGAACAAACAGCTTTACAAAATGTTGAATATACTGTGGATTTGTCCAAATATAAGTGTTTTATCTGGTAAAATAAACTGCAGTATAACTATAAGTAACTGTAGCAGGGGACAGTAAAATGTACTCAGCAGTACTGCAGCACAGAGACAAAGGTCAATACAGTAAATCACAGAAAAGCTGATGTGGAAAAAACAGTGCTTAAGGTTTTCAGGCTAAAACTGTAAATTGTGTTAAGAGGCGAAATGCCTTCATTTTATGTCTTTTTAAACTGACAGATTTACAAAACAAAACAAAACAGTGACATAGACCATAGATAGGATCTAAAAAATCCACTCTTCCTTTGGATAAACTAGGGACTAAAATTCTGGAAGCTGAGATAGCAGCTACTGCTACTCTGCTAAGCTAGGTTAGCTACATTTAGCAGGAGTAGCTCTTATTCTCCATGACTGGAGTTGGCTTTTATTTATGTGGGTAACAAACTAAATCACCACAATGTTAATCTGTCAAAGTTGACAGGATTTCAATTACAGGAAATGAGTGTGGGTTTAGCCAAGGCTGGCTGTCTCTCCAGCTAGCTTTAATGAGGTTTAACTATCTTGCTTTGTAGTCTCTAGCTGTAAAACAGCAAATTTAACATGCATTTTAAAAAGAAGACTATACATAGCTTCTGCATTTTGTAGGTTGGAGTACTTATTAAATAAGGTTAGCAGTTCTATAATACAGTACAATCCAGCCCATTAGTGCCTGAATTGCTGTAGAGGTTAAACCAAGAGTTGGCACATTTTTGACTTAAATGTTACAACTGAATGAAACATTTTATTTATTCACTGGTTTTAAAACCTCGTTCAGGCAGAGAGCACACTTAATTCCCAAATACTCTGCTTGACACTAGAGGGAGTAGAGTGCTTGCTGTGAGAGTTGTATAGTTAAAGGTTTAAAACTGGTACCACGTATATTAGGACTGCAGAACCTGGTGAACCCAGAAGCTCCCATAGTTAAATTCTCAATGCCTGAGCAAGACGGCATCTCCCTGTCCGAACTACTCTGTGTGAGCAAACACAGTTACTAGTTACACTGTGTTAAACTGACTGAAGTGCTCAAACTTTTTGATGAACATATTAACACTATTACAGACACGCAGATCGCTAAGTGCACACAGATTCTAATCACATGATTTTCAGATGTTCTTAGAGATGTGTGGTCAGACCCTCTATTATCCGAGGAGCCAGAGAGAAAACACACCAAAGACATCATGTGATGTTGACTTAGAACATGAGAACATACAGTGTGTAATGTATCATGTATGAACCATGGAGCTCTTCACTGAATAAACTCATGCTGTTTATGCAGAGTGAGAGTGTGAAAGGAGTGTTCAGGACACTTACCGTCATTTGTTTGCTCTTGGCCGTTCTCACCCTACAATGAAAACAGCAGAAAAAAAAATTTCAGATCCTCACTGAACAAAAGCAACTTATTCACCAGCATATACAAATGTTTTTATTTTCCTATATCTGAATAATATTATGTCCGCTTTGTGACAGCAGAGTACCCTGAGGAGGTGAGATGTTATATACAGTATGTCTAGTACATAAGCCATGCCTTTGTTTTTCAGGTGGACCCCTGCATTCTCTGATGACTGATATCCTATTTCACTGTCTTAACACTTCATTGAAATTGGTCAATCAGAGGATTCTACCCATGTCAGGCAGTGCCAACGGTCTCATTCCCAGAATTAAATTTAAACCTCCACAGGGATTAAATGTCAGTGGAGAATATGTATGAAAACAACAACAACCTGGGTCAGTTTCAAATACATGGATAAAAGCCATCCACCCTCATTGAATTTGCCACTGAACTATTTAGAATTAAACTTAATCTATGGCCATGTGACTAGGCTGCGGCTCCGTTTTGGAAACGGTGTTTGCCAGACTAGATGAGAGGTACCTCTCGTCTCTGGTTCCACAGCATGGCTGCCCCCGAGTTGTGGATGGTGATCAGTTCTGGCTCAGGGTTCTTGGGGAAAAGAATAGGCTGCTGGCATCGCCTCAGTGGGGCTGAAGGCTCCCCGCACAGGGTCCCTGTGGGTGACCCGCCTGGGAAAGTGAGACAGAGCAACAAACTTATTAAAGCCTGAGCAGACTGTAATACATTACCTTACATATGCATATTTGATTTTATTTTTCCTTTTGCCCAGTAGATTTTACTGGAGATAGATGGGAAATACCAGAGACAGATGACAAAACATGAGTCAGGCTTCAGAGTCATACCATATGGACACTAATCCAATTAGCCATCTACCCCAGACTCCAGTGTTTAGAACCCATGCCCAACATTCAGAGATTCACCTTCTCAGATTTGATAAATTTGACTGAAACAACAGGAAAAAAAAACCAAAACAAAGGCTCACTGAGAACCAACAGGAAACATCACCAAATCAGGCGTCTGCAACAGACCCAGAAAAGGACTGGAAAGCTTCAAGAGAGACTAAATGAATGCCAAAACTCCCATAACCCTGCAGCGCCTGCTTTCTCCTTTAGCGGAAAGAGCAAAGAGCATTAAAACCCAGTGTTTGGCCCACTGTGGGGAAGCAGGCTGTGCTAACCAAAGCCACATAAGGTAACAGCCCTGCTCTAGCCCTCAGGGCCAGGGAGGGGACAGACTGTCTTTGTTATGAGGGCTAGACACGGGAGTGGCCATTGTTGTCAATGGAGTGAAGTGAATCAGCACTGTTGTCAGTCTCTATCACTCAAGAGAGGTTCTTCACTGCCAGCCCTACATTTCTAAGTCCGATCAATTCATTGGACAGTGACCAGTGACCAGCAAATGGAAGAGGATTAAACTAGATTGATGGGCTAGACAGCAACGCATTATGTTATCATCACTCCAGCACATAGCCTTGGACTTTAATGTAGATATTATCACCAACTGTACTGGTCAGCAAGTGTGGAGACAGGAACAGTAATCATCTGCTGCTGCTAGCTTTGGCTTCCTCTCTGATTACAGAGTCATCCTCCTGTGGCCAGAAGCTGAGGCCACTGGAACAAACCAACAGCTGTGGTATCTGAAAACCCTAAAATCCAAACAAACTGCCAAAGGTTCTGAGCAAATAACAAAATGGTTATGTGTCAGCATACTGTAAATTCTGTAGTCAGGTTTTTTTTTTGAGCTCCAAACATTTAAGGACTGTTGTGTGAAGAAACACTTTATACACTCAAATCAAAACGTCATGAGTTTAGCCAAATCACAAAGAGCCTTTTGGCCCTTACTTGCCTTGATAGTCATGAAAATGGTTTTAGGTTTGTTCACTTGGGTTTTGAGATCTCACACTTCACTGATCAAAGCACTGAAAGATGACACTTAAACACAAAAGGATCAGAGAAAATATACCGGTTGTTCCGGATAAACCACAGACCTTCCTGTGAACAGTTACTTTTCAGAAAAAAAAAAAAAATCATCCCCATGAGAACTTTTCAGTGACGTCTGCAAAGACACCGTCTTGACTTTGTCTGAGGCTGTCAGGAGTAAGATTTCTTAATTGTGAATGACATAATATACAGCACTGCTGTATTTACCTTTGATCCTAACCAGAACATACCTTCAGTGATTATGAAAACCCAACTACCAGGGCTTCTTTGTGGCTCAGTGATCATAGATGCATACTATGCAAAAGTGTGAATCCATGGTAAGATCTTTGTCACATTTCCTGCAATGCTAATATCAGAAAAATGCTAAATATAAAGAAGTGTGCTCCAAATAATGTTAATGTACACATTGCAAGAGCATGTGCTATTATAAAGAGACCAATTACTATTCTGAAGGGTGCAGCATTAAGAAGGTACTGCAAGGCAACCAAGCAGACACTGTTACAGATGGGCTTGAACATATTAAAGGCACATCTGTCCACTAAGAAAGAATCTACACTGGACAATATGCCAAATCAAACAAACCTGTCCATCTGCACTAGGAGTTCATAAACAGGCCAGCCAGAATGCACAACGCTTGTAAAACCTGTTATGGTAATAAATCTCGCTCATTCAGGCAGAGACAAATATCCTCATCAGTATCCGCTGAAGTGAGGCAACTAGGAGAAGCCTTGCCTGAACTTGACCTAAACCCAAGTGAAACAATACAAGCAGGAAAGGGCTTTACTGTGAGCAGCTGCTGGCTGTAGAGGTCAGAGGCTGAACTGATGATTTTAGGGTAAATCCTTCATTGTCCACTCACCCCACAAAATTGATACACCATGTAAATGGTTTTCTACAAAGTGGTCAGTATGAAAATTCCTGGCTTGTGAGTAACTTCACAGCCTTGAGCTGAAATGGAAACCTGCTGTTGCAGAACTTGAATTTTCTTCTTTATGCACTTAGTGAAATTGTTGAGCCTTTAACCAAACAAAGACTAGCTGAGTAAAACATTTCCACCCTTAACTACAAGCAACAAAGATAATGCATAGTAAACAGTCATGCTTGCCTAAAACTTTACCTGGATTATTATGAACCTACTGGCAGGCACAGTCAGACTAATGTTTTCGTGTTGACCTTGACGTTCCCCTGCTGCTGCGTTTACCTGCTCCTCCTCATACACTCAAAATAAAACCTCTCTCTACAAGGCCACACATTTCACCAACTGACACATATTTAAGGAACATTCTGGTTTCCACTGAGGGCTGAGCCTCATCCCATTTAACAAAGCCTAGCTTCAAATTACCCTTACCCTATTACACCCGAGTGTAATAGCTTTTTGGCTATTACACTTGTGGGATGTTCTTTCTGACAACCTCAATGGAAAAAAAAACTAAATAACACTGTGTATTTTTTTTTCCTAGCTTTTTGCTTACTTAAGGCTTCTCTTAGTTTATTCTACTTTAACGAGACTGAACCTGCCCTTAAAAAAGTGCCTATGTGCCCTCCTTGGCACAAACCTCAAACCACTGCCAACATTACTTTGTAAATCAAAACCCTGTTGTTTTCATTCCTTCGGTTCTGACATTATCACACCGACAATGAAAAAAGAGGGGTTAGATTGATATAAGACTGATTTACTGGGTGGATTGTTCCTCCGATGAGCATGAGGGTCCTCAGGTTCTGCAAAGATACTGGAGGCCATCTTGTTCTTGCGCTGGGGGGTTGTGTTGTCATCTGTGCCAAAGGTGAAGCTGGAGTCCCCACCTGGCGGTCGCAGTACCCTGGGAGGGAACAAATGAACGATTAGTTGATTGACATCCAGTCCAACATGCTTCCATCCCCCACTCTTTAGGCCAAACTAAAGCAAGGCCCATACCACTGATCAGCTGCACAGTGGAAAAGAAATCAATAGTCAAATAAAACATGAGAATGCCTCAGGCTACTTACAGCCTTCTCCCTACTCCACCCTAACACTTTCGCACACACACAAAACACAAAAACCCACAGGCTACCAGCAAGGTCTCTGCTCTCTAAGCCCCGGCTGTCAGCATGTCAGACAGACAGTCTGAATCTCTGTCCTGCAGCTGACTCCAATCGCATATAATCACAGAGCGAGCTGCCTCTCCTCAGCTTAAATTCCTATGCAGTGACACATGAGGGGCTGGTGTCCATTCCTGGTGACATTATTAAATGAGTAAGTTAACTTCAGTGTCCTTTGTGGGTCAATATTACACAAAAGAGGTGAAAAGTCTAAGTTAATATAACAAATAGGCTGCTCTTAAACAATGCAGAGAGTTTGCATGCAGACCAGTGCATGTTAAACAAAGCCCACTTTCCACTGACATTCCTTCTACCACAAGCTGAACAAAAGGAACATGATAATGAGTAGGGAAACCCTTTTTTTTCCTCATGCTGTGCTGAAAGGCAGTTTGGGTGGACGAAAGAAACTGATGTGTTCACAGAGCTCCCGCTGGACCCCTCCCTCTTTTTTTTCTAGCAAACTCTCCTCTCCTGAGAGTCCCTGAAGCCACCAGCTGACACACTGAGCAGCTGTCCAAGGGGCCAGGCAGGCAGATGAGTCCAAAAAGCAACTCGGCTCTCAAAGCACAAACACAAGGAATGCAGCGGTAGAACCGGTGTGAATTTTATCAGTCAATTTCTATATACACAATTAGTGTTGCACACGTTTGGCTGTGACAGTAATGCCTAAACCAGACTTCACCTCCTGGCCAAAGGATGAGCTCATGCTTTCCACAAAGATTGCAACAGGGGGAAGCTTTTAGCTGCCTGGCAGGACCCCACCCTAAAGTTAAACTTCAAATATTGTCAGTGAATTGGCATTAATGTTTAGAATCTGAAGAACAGCTTCAGGCATGTGGTAGCTAGGTCTGATATGGCTGAGCCCCAAAGCTAAAGATGGTATGTCTGATAAGGAAGGGGGTAGGAGGCTTTTGATGGCCTACTAAGATTTTAGCCCAATTCTGCTTTAGTCAGCCAGCAGCAGGGATGCCCAACAGCTTGTAAAAAGGGCTTTAAGGAGCACAAGCAAAGAGCTAAGATGTAAGATTTAAAGACTAATCTAGCTCAAAGCCCCCACCCTAGCCCCTGCATCATCTGAAAACAGTATGCCACTTCAACACGCCTATATGCTCACTCAGCAAAGGCAAATAGTAATAGCATTCCCTAAAAATATGGTTTATAAGCCCTATAATCATGGCCTATTTATCAGGCAGCCACACTTATGGGCATTTTCTTTGCATGGTTTTCACTGCCAAGGGGGAAGAATGCATCCAGCCGAGACGAATCACTTACTGGTAAGCTATGACTGCATGCATGGACTCTTAAAATGTTATTCTATTGATATAAAGATTTAACAGATATCGTGAGTCTGGCATAGACATCATAATCCATAGAAACCAAACAACTGAATTTATCTTACTTTCTTTAAACCTCCATTCACTAACTAACAATGAACCAAATCAAAGATAATGACATATGCAGACCCACATCTAGTCTAGGATTCTTCCTGTAATCCATCACATATTTGGGCTGTTGCTCATTAGCTCTTCCTTTGGCCCCATATTGAATGAGCACACAGCTAATAAATCGGGGATAACATTATTCCTTATACTCCAAAGAGCAGCACATTTAGAAATCACCACAGTAAAGGAGCTGAGACTTGAACTACAAAAAAAAGTTATCTGTAGTCGGCCACAGCCTGTTATGAGCTAACGTTGCTAATTTTGTCCATTTCCCCACAAAACAGGTAGAAATTCAATTCAAATCAATTCGGCCATTTGGATTTGACCTCTTTTTAAAATCTCGCATATGTCTAGTTATTCTACAAATCCCATACAGACTAACCTAACTAACTTGGGGAAGCTAAAGGCTACGGTGCACCAGTCACCCAATAAGATTAACGTAATTAGCAAGACTGTGTGACCGTTAGCTATCCAGAAAAATCCCTCGCCAGCCACCAGCAGGCTAACGTTGAGGGAACAAGCTGCCTTTAGGCAAAAGCAGAAAACGGGCGTCTGTTAGCTGAGGCTTGCCCACATCCCACTTCTTTTGTTCCTCCGTCAAAGGTTTTCAGCTCCTTTTACCTGGAACTGTTTTTAGCACCAGGCTCCATTCCTTGAAAGGTGGTTGTCGTTGTCATCTTTAAGGAGTATTTCGATGTCCTGGCAGTAACAAATATTCAATAACAAGCTAATACAAAAAAAAATCCTCCACCTTCCCCGCAGATATGCGACGGGATGTCGACTCCACCCGACACTGAAAAACATAACGAAGACCAAATCCGCTGGTTCTGCGGTGCCAGCCCACTAGAACCAGCCCACAAGCCCTCGGCCCGCTGTGATTGGACAGAACATCACAGAACTCCTCTCTGATTGGTCAAAACATCCTAGACCTCTTCTCTGATAGGACAGAACCTCAGGGATCGCCTCTGTAGTAGGTAGCAGCTCTCAGCTTCATGTTCACACAAG